AGGGAGTGCGAGTATTTTTTCCTAGGCAGACTCTTAAGGGGTCCCACTGCGAACAACATGCCTGCCCTAAGTAAACGTGGGCCTGCATTTCTCCAAGAGGCCTGAACTTGACATTTTCAGGGCCTTTGGTGTTGCCAGGCAGTTAATGGTGGCAAGTTGGTTCAAGGGCCCTACACACTATGCAACTGTAGAATCGTGAGCCTTCTTGGCTCTTCCAAGCACGGCGTGGAAAAAGGCCTTACGGCCTATCAGGATGCAGCGAGTGACACAGGCCACATTGTACAGCTGGGCGTTTGTAACTGTTTCGGTCTAAGGCTGCTACCTGAATTGGGCCTGGGCGCAAACAATTTGGCCCTACGTGAAGCTACTGGCACACGGTCGCCAGGCCCAGGCTGCCTGTACAGGCAAGCACTTTCCATATAGGAAGTGTCCGGCTGCCTCTCATTCATTCGGGCACTTCGTGCGCCACGGTAGAGCTGCTGGTATTAGCACTCACAGGCAGCTAGCAGGAGAGTTCGCGTGCACACGGGTGCAGATAATGAAAGTGGTGGGCACTGCTGAAGGCAGGGACAGGTCTAGGCCTGTATCAGTCCAAGTAGTCTGAGTCTAGGGCCTGTGCGGACAATATCAGAGCCTGCAATGATGTTTCCCTTTGAAAGGGAGGTACCGGTTGCTTGGAGGTCGCACAGCCTGGAAGTCACCGCCCAAGGAGGCTGCTGACTCGCTATATATCCAGGGAGAGCCAAGGGCTCTTCCTCATTTGCGTTATGGAAGTTTGGACGACTTACTGCTGGAGCAAGCGCTGGAGTTCAGGACGCTAGTGGGAGGAGGAGCGCTGGACATTACAGTGCTGCTAACAGGAAGGAGACCGCGAGCTTCCACCTTGGCTATGGTGGAGCTCTACCAGTGGGAGGAGGAGGAAGAAAGGGGCTAGGGAGGAGAGTGGCGAGGTACCTACCTGGCTATGGTGGGCACCATCTTCATCACCTTGTTAGGCACTGCATCTGGAAGGCCCCAGTTGGGGTTGCGCCGCACCAAGAACGCTTCAAGGCAGAGTCAGGCATGGCAGCCTGAACAGCAGTGGGCATAGCTGCTTTGAGTTATCTTTTGCACAGCAGGGTTGTCCACCATAGATTTGGCCTACACGAAGAGGACTGAGAAGGATGGTCATGGCTATGGTGGACCTCATGTTATGACTGCAGAGGAAGAGGAATTGGGACATTGATTATGGTCCGGCCATTCATCATCATTATTTTTATTTATTGTTTAAATAAAGAGGGGAGGAGACAAGGAGGAGGGATTGGTTGGCAAGAGGAAGGAATTATCATTGGTCTTCGCTGGTGTACATCTTCTCCTTCTCTTTCTTCCTTTTCTTCTCTCTCTCTCCCTCTCTGTCTCTCTCTCTCTCTCTCCCCTCTCAAGTTCATTCATTTCCTTTTGCAAATGGTCGGCATTGTGCTTTCTGGCAAATTTGTACTTCGAAATTGGCCAGAATCATAACAGATCTGTCTTATGGCTCTCTAGAGTAGATGTTGGAGAGCAAACAGGTCTTGCAGAAATCCCTGTAAGATAATGACTGATCAACTTCAGAGCAAGTGAATAAAGTGCAGATGTGTATCACTGTTCCAGGTAGGAGACTCCATAGAAGACTTCACTGTTCAGTCCTGAAGAGAATAGAAAACTGCAACCACTTTATCGTGAGCCCTAAGCAAGTCTAGATATTGCAGGTGGTGACCCTGATCATCCATCCTATGTCACGGGTGTTCCTCATCTTCCAACATACTCAGTCTTTCATGCCTCAAAGCTGTTACCTACTCAGCTAAAACCCAGCTTCATTCGCATTGCGCAATGCTACACCCACCATGGATGGATGTGGACATTGATGGTATTGTTGAGCACCAACACATGACGCTACCCAGACCAACGGGGAAAACGCGCCCATCAAAACCTTCGGTTCAGATATCATCCGATCCAAGTCAAGATCAAAAGAGCTGATGCAGGCAGCACCTGAAGCTGTGGTAAGTTATGATAGGGGTGTAAAAGAGAACCAGCATGTGGAATGAAGGGATTCTCATTCGACTTTGATTATGCGAATGTGGGTAAGGTTGCAGGGATGGAAGAAACAGCAAGAGAAAAATTACCCCGCAAGGAATCCGGTTGAGTCCAATGAGCGAGTTGTTTGCAATAGACCAGGAGTCGTTTGGTATCTGTGTCCCTTTTAGAACCATGTTAAAGATGACAAGGGTACCTGTTGCAGCTTCGTTCGCAAGGGAGGGGGGGGAAAATGGGAGAAATGAGTCGGGGTGGGGGATTTGGGAGTTTGGGGGGTCGTGACTAAGGGGGTGGGGGTCGGGTTTGTTTTGAGATTCACCTGTGTAGTGTTGTTGACTGTATCTATGCACTGCTGCTGGAGATCAGAAACCCGTGGAAAGACGGGTGTTTTTTTTTTCCAGCATTTTCATGGGTCTTACCTCTGAGAGTCCTGTTGAGGCTGAAGGGTTTCGTGGGGGTTGCTGGCAATCAAAATATAACCCACCTGTCGTGTGCCATATTGTTTTGGGGGGAGGGGTGTACTGTTGTTGACACAGTCGATGGACCACAAGTCAGATATGAAACTGATAGGAACAGATACTGCACTTGATTGTGATCATTTTGGGGGGGGGTAGTAACTTCTCTCTCTCTCTCTCTCTCTCTCTCTCTCTCTCTCTCTGTGTGCGTGTGTGTGTGTGTGTGTGTGGTGCACGGGTGTGCCCAAACACGTGTTTTTTTTTTCCGATTTTTTTTTTAAAAAGAATTCCCGATGGACCACAGGTCAGATATGAAACTGACCGGAATAGATACTACACTTGATCATCATCGTTTTTGGGGAGGGGGACAGTTAGTTGGTTTGGTGTCTCTCTCTCTCTCTATCTATCTATCTATCTATCTCTATCTATCTATCTCTATCTATCTATCTATACTACACTCGATCGTGATCATTTGGGGGGGCAGGAGGGGGTAGTTCGTTAGTTCGGGGGTAGTTAGTTAGTTCGAGGTCTCTCTCTCTCTCTCTCTCTCTCTCTCTCTCTCTCTCTCTCTCTCTCTCTCTCTCTCTCTGTTGTGTGTGTGTGTGAGTGTGTGTGTGTGTGTGTGTGTGTGTGTGTGTGTGTGTGTGTGTGTGTGTGTGTTGCACGCGTAAGCGCACACACACGCACCATTTGCCGTTTCTTTCTATATGTAATGACCCGCCAAAAACACAGACTGAGAACACTGCTGATTTCTGGGATTTGCCGCTGGAATGAATGCCCTGCTGAAATTCCCGCATTCTGTTGTGATTTCCACGTCTGTGTGTGTGTGTGCGTCCCTGCTGGTTTGCATGACTGTCTGAGTGCTTGTCGGTTGAGTGTGTGTGTGACCCGCAAGGGTACTTGTTGGTTGCAAGGCTCCGCAGGGCCGGTACTTACCTGTGGCTGTGACTGTGAAGGGTTGCAGGGGGGAAAACACTCGAGTAGCGGGGGGAGGCCCGCGGCACTTAGAGCAGAGGGGAAAGACACTCTTATTTCTCGTGCCAGTCCTGTTTTTGCACCAAGTGCCAAGGCATTTACCAGGCCGTGGCCCAGAGCTCTTGACCATTCCGGCCAGAGTTCCGTTTTCAATTTCCAACATTTGGTGCCAACAGGTCAGCCTCGGCCCGTACAAAAGACTTAACTGGGCAGCGGTACTTATAGTCAGCCAGCAGCCCTGTTCACTTCCTTCGTTCTATTCTATTGTCGGTCAATTCTTTGTGCTGCTGAAAACTTAATGCGTCAAGTCTACCTTATTAACCCGAAAAAACGTTGTAGTTGTAGGCTAGGCTGTAGAGTAGATAGGGCGCCTGGCGCCATTCACAAGAGCGAGCTACATTTGGGTTATGCTGCTGGCGTTGCCCTGTTGGGCATGGACATTGACTTACGATTCTTCTGTATCATTCTCACTGGGATGGTTACTCGGTTCCATGTGCTATCTGCTTTGGCTTTGACTACTTGGACTTCAGTGTGATTTTGCATTCTGGATTTCTGTGCTTCGTCCATATTCATGTTCCTTGCAGTAGTCTGTTTGAGAGAATCAGTCCTCCTCCTCCCTACCTCTCACTCTGTCAGATTCTCACTGTTGAGTCCAGTTTCGTCTGTGAGAGTAAAGGCTGTGCATCCGTGATCATTGCTTTGATGTTTCTGCTCATTCCTTCACAATTCCTGCATATCTGTGATCGTTGCTTGCATAAGGTATTGGAGTGTGACGTGACTTGAGCTTCTTCCCAACTGTATCCTCATACGTAATTCTCTTTCCCCAACACGTACCCTGAGTTCGCGTACTTGGTTCTCCCCTTTGGCTTCCCATCAAGAGGATATTTTGCCAAACATTCCCAGGCTATGCGCGGTGCGCACGCATTGCCATGTGCGCAAGGCGCACCACACCACATGGCGCACCACATACGTGTGCCCCATGTATCGTCTGCTATCATGGCACACCGCATAGGTGTGCGCACACACCGCATGGCGCACCACATACGTGTGCCGCATGTATCGTCTGGTATCGTGGCACACCGCATAGGTGTGCCGCAAGTATCGTCTGCGATCATCGCTTGGATGCTTTGGCTCATTCATTTTGCTATTATACTATGCCTACAAGTGGGATTGCAGTGTGTTGCAATTTAAGTTTTTATCGGCTCTCCTCATGCTTAGTTTTTTCCCCCGCCCCACGTACCCTGAGTTAGTGTACTTGGTTAACACATTTGTTTTTCCCATCTGGTTTTCCAGGAACCCCAAGTTCTTACACACTGCGTTTCTTCAAGTATGGATCGACAACTCTCACAAGTTAGCCATATGACCCATGGACTGGCAATCAAGTGGAGCGGGCCACGGCCTTCAGCCCCTGACAACGTTTTTTCAGTCTCAAACCAACAACTTGGGGCAATAGACAGCTATGTGAGCTGGGGGATAGCTGTCAATCAACTCCATAAGCAGAAAGCAGGAAAACCTCACCTGTGGCTGGATGGAGTTCTGTGTTGCATAGTGCTGTTGGGATGTTAGGACAGGAATCTGTTGTAAGCTTGCCACTTGCTGCTGATGGGGACCAACTTGGATAGCTGCCTGATGCATATGGTGAGGGGATGGCACAGCCGTAGGTTGATGCATATGAAGATGAAGCTGTGCAGACAATGGCCCAGGTGGTGGCATCCCTGGCGCTAAGCTGAGAATAGGGGGTGTCACTACAGGAACTCCAGTTGCTTGTTCAACCTGTTCCCAACAGAAATGCCAATCAAACACAAGTTAGACAACCCCTTATTTTCGTGTGTTTTACAGTGACTTCTATGACAACTAGATGATCTGTTGCGGCAAAGCTCGTAAACAGAAAGAAGATGCGGGGCATTTGTCATGTGGGGAGTCGCCCGTTTATTGATTGATACACTTATATCGACGATGGCTTACCTCACACAGACCTGTTCTTTGTTCTCATGCAGCGTAGAGAGAAAGAGAGAGAGAGAGGGAAGTGCAGTGTGGCTGCAAGGAGAGGGAGGAGCCGGAGGGGGAAGGGGTTGCTGGGGGGTGTGGGGGGCATGGGTTTGAGAAAACGGGCATTCTGCTTGTGGTTGTTGCTAACTTAGAAGCAACTCAGCCAACAGGGAAACTCTCTCTCTCTCTCTCTCTCTCTCTCTCTCTCTCTCTCAATTGCTTGTCGGGCAAACCCTCCCCTTCCCCACAGAAAGACAAAAGTAAAGACGGTTAATCGCAGATCATAACCACCCAAAACCGTCGTCTTTTTCTGATTTTTCTTGTAAGAAACTTGACTCAAGTTGCGGACAACATAAGGCTCTTCTCCTCGGAATGCAAGGGTGCTTCCGAAGCTAACCCTTTGGAGGTCAACTAAATGCCAACTGGAGAGTCTCAACACAGAGTCTTAAACTGCTCTTGCATGCACAAACTTCAGTTTTGTGGGTCCATATTGCTCTTCCTTCCCTCCCTCTTTTCCCCCTCTCAACCCCTCCATCACTCTCCCTCCCCGCCTCTCAATTCAGTGTTAACCCTTCAGAAGTCGATCAAATGCAAAAGTACCAACACATATTCCAGACAGACATTGCACACCCACACTTCCATCCTGTGAACCACTGCTGCTCTTCCTTTCCTCCCCACCTCCCTGACGCCTCAATCACACACATCCTTCCTAAGCCCCATCGTCACTCCCCCCCTCTGCCAGATGCATTCTACTGCTCCGCACCTCACATTCCCCTTGCTGCCAAGGAATACAACCTACCCCCTTCCCCATGCAAGGAAGCAATGGCAACGAAAGAACAACAACCGAACAGCCATGCCCTTTGATGTTGTTGCCCCCATAGGGAGGCGAAAACTTGAGACCAAGTGAAAGTCAGCCTGCTCTGCTCTCTCTCTCTCTCTCTCTCTCTCTCTCCACCCCCCCCCCCCCCCC